AATGTGTGGAGATTACCAGGAAACTGTGGATCGCCTGCTGCTTCAATGTAGTAGGAATCAATGCTCTTTGTTGGAAGCTCATTGGGCTTAATTGGAGGTATCAGGGAGACCGCAACTGGAGTTTTAAAACCACGAACACGATGGAGGCATGCGAATGCAAGAACATATAGGCTCGACTTGGTAGCTTGTGTACTCTGGAGGATTTGGAAGGGCAGGAATGCTTGGACAGTTAATAGAGTACAAGAATTGGAATGGGAAACTGCTAAGCGAGCTCGAGAAGAATGGATGAAGCTTGCACAGGTCAAGGATGGAGAAATGCCTAAACCAATGTCACCTCGGGCCGAGACATTTTCCAAGGAAGTAGGACAAGTGTGGAGCTCTGTCAGTGCTTCATGCTCAGCAGGAGGGACCACTGGCATAACCTGCATGGCTGAGAAGAATGGACAGGAAATCTTCAGATGGACGGATACTGAATCAGACCCTCAAGCAATTCAGACAAGGCTGCTACAAATGACAAAAAGGATGATCCACAAGTTGGAGGAGTTAGAAGAGGATAACATGACTTGCTCTCTAACCGATCACCAACTTACTCTAATGCTGCAAGGAAAACAGGAATGCGCGGCAAATCTGAGGGGCTTAATAGCAGATGTTCGTGTGTTAGTTGATTCGGTGGTCCATTGTCGTTTCATGTTTGATCCTGGTATATATTAGTTTGTTGTTCTTGATTTTATGTTTTCTACTTCTTTGCGATTGACGGACAGATTCTAGCTGATCCGGTTTGTGCTTAGCTTATCTTGTTATATGCTTTGTATTATTTGTTCATATGAGCAAGCGGTTGTAAGACTTCTTTGAGCTTTTTATCAATATATTTGTTTTCGTTGGAAAAAAAAAAAAAAAAAAAAAAAAAAAAAAATTAGCGGCAAGAGTGGGTGGTATTTTATTTTCTATTGATAAGTGTTATCCTTTGATTTTTAAGAACTAGTTTACATAATTTCGAAAGGCAAGTCCCGAGAATGAACGTTTGCAGACGCTAAACGCATTTTCAGTCTTCTTGTCGATGTCATTGGGTTGAGAGGTACTGCTGCCACTCTTCCGGCATCCCTTTCCGCATTTTCAGCATCTTTATTGCTTGAGAGGTTAACGGTATGGCAAGTATGTCATAGTCCTTAGGAGCCTGCTTAAATAAAATGAAATAAGCCAAGAATTTAAATTAATTAGAGCATAAATTAAGGTCGTTTCAAGTACCATATATCTTTTGCCCCTTTGCATTGTATTGTATACCACTATTATAGACTCGGGGACAGTTGATATATATATATATATATATATATATATATATATACTATACGTTCATTCAACTACCTTGGGAACCTTCATCAATCTCATATTTACTTCCTCCAAGGTTTTCTGACCTTTCTTTGAGTTGCATTTGGCACAGGCAGTAACCTGTTTTGCTAACTAATTATTAGCAGATGTTGCTCGAAAGCGAATAAAATAAACTGAAAAGTGATTCGACATCATTGGAGCGAGCACAAGTAAGTGGATTAATATTTATTAATTCAAAAATCATGACAAGAAAAATCGAGCACCAAGTCCCATTCCATTTCGCTTTCGAAATAATTTACATCATTCATCACTTGTTAAAAATTTTACTGTAATACAAAGTAATGAAGTAATACGCTGAATATGAAAGTTTGACATCTTACCAGATTTTCCCAGGTCCAGTTTCCCCCTCGAGCAATTGGCAGGACATGATCAACGGTCAAGTTCTCACAGGAAGAACAGTACCTATAAAGTATGCAGGTAAAACAAGTCAACATCGCACGATTGTTAGTGCTGATGAAACACAAGTTTATTTGGATGGACTCACTGTGCTATCTAAAGACATTGAGAATCCACACTGCTCATAATGTCCAGTGAGATAGTACGATCATAAAAAAATATTTGACCGACCTTAAATCCTTCTATTGTGCCTCTCCTTTGAGGGGTGTTTGTGTTTCAGTAAATTTGCTCAAGTAGGCTGTTGGCCCATATCATGCTTAAATTTAATTCAACACATGCAAGAACAACGAGAACATAAACACAAAGTTTGTTCGAGTAGTTAAGAACTCACTGACACATAAAATTGTCCCGGTTTAAAATACTTTTACGACTGAGGCCTCTTTTCACTGTTCTTCTCTTCACAACTTGTAGCAAATGCGGGACCTGTACCAGTCGACGGACAATCATCATTGGTCAGTATGAAAAACGTATGGAAGGACAAAACATAAAAACTTAATGCTAATTACACAGACCATGACTTGTGATATAGCTAATCGCCAGTTTTGGCCTCATTCACAATTTATCACTGTTGCCTCTCCCATATGGCTCATCCACCACCGCGCATTACTCCCCACAACCCCACAAATCGTAGTTGTAAAATTTTTGAAGAATGAAAGTGTGTTGGGTTTTCTGCTAATTTGTTGATGATCAACATCAGTTACAGTTTGAGTTAAATCCCACAGACAGACAATTAGTAACACACACATATTTCATTGATCATGAGCGTAAGTGTCCGTTCACCCAGCCACCCAACCAGAGAGGGAAAGATGTAAAGTAATTTGGCAACTATTAGGCATTTGAAAGAGAAGACAATAAAAATACACAGGAAAAAAATAGCAATAAAAGTAGTTAATGACGATGACATTGTACCCTCAATACAGCAGGAATATAGAAGGAGCCGCTGGGAGAATTTACTGTTTGATCATAATATTCCAAAACATCAGCCTGCAATTCGAGTCATAAAGCTACGATTCTTCATGAGAAACGCAAATACATAAGAATTTGATTTTGGAATTCCAGTAAATGAAAGCGCCCATATATTGATGCCAAGGATATATAGCAGCATAAGAGTAGGTAAAATGTCACCTTATCCATGAACTCCAAACATATGGCGCGTTTCCAGCAGACTACATTGACGGGCCTATAATGACACAGCTTATACGTTAAGGGCATGCATGATAGAGTAGACAAGATAAGATAAATATAGACTCATTAAACAAGATTGTACTGTAGAGATTTGATTTATA